TAGGATTACAGGCGTGAGCCACCAGCGCCAGGCCTTCCAAATAGACTTTTGAAGTTATAGTTCTGAATTTTGAATAGGTTTGTATCTTCCTCCAAAAGTGTTATTTATTGGTAAAAGAATTTGACACTAGTAACTCATTTCCGTCTTCTAACTTCCATAGCTGATTTACTGTCAACACAAGTCTGTCATCAACCTATTGAAAAGCAAATGGGTTTGTCACTTTTTAGAGTAGTGATTCTTTGTATGTTTTCTTGTGATTTCCTTGGGACAATTGAGCAGATTCAATATCCTAGCTGTGAACTTTATTTCTCCTTTCTTCTTTTTGCTCTTGGTGGGAAAGCTGAAAGTAACACAGACATGTGGGCGGGGGTGGGGGGGAACCCGCATCCTTGGGAAGTCTGAGGCAGGACACCTCCCAGAGACACTGGATGAGAGACTCTGATGGGCTGGCCAATTGCGTGATCAGATAGTGTTTCTGCCATTGGGCATCTAATAGATGTTTAGATGAGAAACTTAAAGAGTTGCTGACAAAAGAAGCTAGAAGTCTCCAGAAACAAGATATTATTTGCTTGTTCACTACCCAGGATACATTTGAGGTTTATTTATTTATTTATTTATTGGGGGGGGTTGGTCGTGGGGCCTGAACTCTGGGCCTGGGTGCTGTCCCTCAGCTCTTCAGCTCAAGGCTAGCACTCTACCACTTGAGCCACAGCGCCACTTCCGGCTTTTTTCTTTTTGCTTATGTGGTGCTGAGGAATCGAACCCAGGGCCTCATGCATGCAAGGCAAGCGCTCTACCACTGAGCTTATCATTCAAATATTGAAAGAATGTCCATGGGAGTCTGTACCCAGGGATTTGGGACCACTGGATAGTGGTCAGAAAGAAATATTTATTGAATTTGTTGTTGTTGTTGTTTGTCATGGGTTTGAACTCTGGGCCTGGGTGCTATCCTTCAGCTCTTCAACTCAATGTTAGTGCTCTACCACTTGAGCCACAGTGCCATTTCTGTTTTTCTTGTGGTTTGTTGGAGATAAAAGTCTCACAGACTTTCCTGCCTGGGCTGACTTTGAACTGTGATCCTTAGATCTTAGCCTCCTGAGTAGCTAGGATTACAAACATGAGCCATTGGTGCCATTAGGGCTTGAACTCAGGGCCTGGCACACTAGGACTCGAGCCATAGCTCCAATTCTGGCTTTTTGGTGATTCATTGGAGATAAGCATCTCATAGACTTTTCCTGCCCAGCCTGAATTTGAATGATTCTTAGATCTCAGTCTCTTGAATAACTAAGATTACAAGTGTGAGTCACTGGTGCCCAGCTTTATAGAGATGCTTCTAAGTTTTTCAGGTTGGTAGCTGAGAAAGGTTGGTGTTTAAGGTATTTTGAAGTTTCTTTAAATCAGTTTATTTATACAGAATAAAAGGAACCTCTCCTCCTCCCACCCTGCATTTAAAAATGTAAAGCTTTCTGGAAATTAGTAGTCAGTTCTGCCATTGTTGTGTGAATGTAGCCATAGGAGTTATAAGCAAACACATGGCAAGATAGTATTCTGATAAAACTTTATTGACAAAAGACAGAACCATGTCAAATAGTTTAGTAGATGTCTTCTTTAGTAATGCTGTAGGATAAAATAGATTATTGCATTGCTAGACAAGCTTCACTTGAGCTATACAATAGTCCATTTTGTTTTTAATTTATTTTTCAGATAAAGCCTCACTTTGGCCTGGGGCTGGCCTTAGAAAATGCTTCTCCTACCTCCACTTTCCTCATAACTGGGACTACAGGCATGCTTCACCACATCCACCATGGGCTTGCTGTCACAGGTTGGAATAGCAAGAATGTCTGAGTTAGTGACTCAGTCTGAGTTTTGGAGTCGGCTTAGGTGACAATGTTTCCATTAGGTCACCAAGTCTTATGGTCACCAGGGTGATGACTGGAGATTATGCAGGTTTGGAAAGAGATAGGGATGAAGGTTGCCTTTGTACCATCTTGCTAGAGTGATTTTTTTTCTTTCTTTCTTTTTTTGGCATTGGAGTTTTTCTCTTTCATTCCCTGACCTCCTCAATTCTAAACTTTATCTTATGGAAAGTGGAAGTTTATTTATTTATTTATTTGTTTTGCATAGTGGATGTTGCATACAGGAACCTGTGTGTCATTTTAATATTTCTACCAATGACTGGTGGTGGAGTAAGTATGAAGGGACCCGCCCATTCTTATAGAACAAACCCCAGAACCAGGGTACAGGCCCCTTCTACATCTAAATCAGAAGGTGTGTATCCCCTGTGGTGCTCGCCTGGGCACTGCCAGGGTACCCCAGCTGCATTTGGACAACTTCTCCTTCAGGGCACTCCCTGAGCTGACTTTGATCTCTCTGTTTTAAAATCTACAATATTTGTATGCAAATTTCAAACCATAAAAGACGAGTTTCCCAGGATGGTATCCAAGAGATCTTATAGCCTGAGGATACAAAAAAAAAAGTATTTCTTGGGAGCAAAAAGATGAAACTAAAGATAAATCTCCAAGTGTCTTTTCTGGTTATTCTGTGGCTACAGGTTTTTCAGAGTAACCCAGGCTGTTGTGGAGAGACTTTAAAAAAAAAAAAAAATCAATGCTTCTCATTCCTAAGGAGACTTAGCGTGACAACGGCCATTACAAAATTAAAGACTGACAACTCTGCCCCATGCAAATATTTTTATTATGCATTCAAATTTAAACATGTATCAAGCATCTGCATATGTGTAGAGTTTAAAGACTATTTCACACAAGGCTCAGAGAGTGCATACTCTTTAAATCTCCGTTTAGTAAAAGGTGACTCTGGTACCTTAGTCAAACCTCCTGTTTGCAAGTGTGTAATAAATCATCTTCTCACACGTGTACATGTAAAGTCGACTGCTTACCCTTGCTCCACACACCCACCCCAGTTTAATTCCCCCAGTAAAATTGATTCCCCAACGTCTGCAAATTATTCTCGCTGTCTTCCATTTAGTGCGTCAGTTGGCTGACAGCAGAGTACACAGCACTTAGCAGCTGGGTTGTGGAGCCATCAGTCAGGAAATCGCATGATAAATAGGAGGTGGCTGGGTTTGGTGGCACTTCCTTCTGCTTCAGCAGTTTTTGCCTGACTTCGGAGAAACCACCGTGGGGCGTTTTGTCAAGAGCCAGGGCAGGAGATGGCTGTGCTGTGCTAACTTATTACACATGCCCTTGAGTTATGATGTGACACAGCTGTCCTGCTCATGTGTAAATAATAAGCCAGGAGGTGGATAATGATGGCGACTGCCTCTTCTTGTCACTGGGGTTTTCTTGGATAGCACGCTGGGCCTGTGATGGAATGTGCTGTGGATTCACATAGAAACTAAGGCGCAAGTTGAGCACTCAGCATTTGAGGATGGATATAGGAGCATCTTTTGTGAAGGTGTGAGGATTGAGGGTGTGACTTTTGAGTGTGTATGCATGTGTGCACACTGGTACTGGGGCTTGAATTCAAGACCTTATGGTCTCATTTGGCTTTTTTGCTCAAGGCTAGTGTGCTACCACTTGAGCCACAGTTCCACTTGGTATCTTCTTGCTCAGAATCGGAGATAAAAGTCTTATGGGCTTTCCTGCTAGGGAGGGCTTTGAACCTTGATCCTCAGATCTCAGCCTCCTGATTAGGATTATAGGCATGAGCCACGGGAGCCCAGCAGGACAACTTCTTTTAAGCTTAATTGAGAAGGAAACATAGAAACTATGAAACAAATGAAAACCAGATGTGTTCTGCACATCCAGTTATTTTCTGTTCTTTACTTAAACCTAATTTCAGAACACAGAATTTGTAAGTTTCCTTGGGACAGAACTAACTGCCTTGTTTAGTGTTAACAAAGTCACACAATACCCATTCAATCAGTGTTAACTATCAGACTCAACATTTGAGAAATGACCACTTTAATGACCTGGGAATTTTGGCTTTAAAACATTTTTTTTCCATTCAAAAATTGCAGACATTGTTTATTTTCTATTTCATTCTGAGAAGGTTAAGGTGAGAAAAATAAATGAGTCTAAAATCTGAAAGAATATATTCTTGAGAATAAAACGATAGTGAAGTCTTAACACTGTAGAGATTTTTATACTGCTTGGGTACATTTGTTTGATTTTATTGAATTAATAGTTGGTCTTCCTCTTTGTGTATATAAGTTACTGTGAATTCATTATTAATATTCACATTAAAGATAATAACTTATTTTATGGACATAGGATGCATCTATGAGAATAAAGTCACATATTTTAGACATGTATATATGTGTATAAATTGTTTTTGTGCCCACATGGAGAAAGCCAGGTATACTTCACATCTATTTATCTGCTAGAAAGAATTTTGTTATGAAGATGACAGAGAGGTAAAAAGTAAACCTTTTTGTGTGGTGCCAGTAGTAGAGCTTGAATTCAGGGTCTGGGGGCTGTCCTGTAGCTTTTTTACTCAAGGCTGGTATTTTACCAACTTGAGCTACATACAGCCCCACTTCTGGCTTGTTGCTTATTAATTGGAAATTGGAGATAAGAATCTCAGACTTACCTGCCTAGGCTGGCTTTGTACTGTAGTTCTCAGGTCTCAGCCTCCTGAGTACCTAGGATTTCAGGTGTGAACCACTAGAGCCCAGCTTGTAGTTTTTAAATGCCACTTCCTTAGGAGGAAGCTGGGATTACAGGAATGAGCCATAGTGCCCTCCTCTTGAGCTTTCTCTCTAAACGGCCTTTCTTCCAGCACAAGGAACTATGCAGTGGGTGCATTCTATTTCTTCTGGATTTCTGGTATTAAATTTTAGCTACATTACAGAGTCTACTTTCTCAGGTCCCTCTGCTCATGCACTCATACTCTGTGCCTCAGGGACCCTCATCTTGAACTGTCAAGAGTTCTTCCTGAAATTCTCACTGGAGGCTTCATGTAGGAGGCAGAGATAGGAGCGCAGAGTTGCTATTTCACTGGGTTTATTTTACAGATGATGGTCTTTCTTTCTTTTTCAGACCCTCCTCATCTTTTCCCTGCCTTCCATCCTCCTGTTCCCATTGATGCCAGACATCATGAGGGCCGGTACCACTACGATCCATCTCCTATTCCTCCATTGCATGTGTAAGTATTCAAAGTTCACGCATCAAGGAAATGGAAGAAGTTAGCAAATTTTTGTGGGTCTCACGACTTTTATGAGTGGCACATGTCCTAGGCTTTAAAGATGTGACAGGGATTTGAGATTTGAAATCCAGCAAGTCTGTTTCCAAATTCACGGAAGCAGAACCCTGCTGTTTCCTGAGAAATTTCTGTCACAGGAGGCAGCTAGCTTGTAAGCATTTTCCTATAGATTCTCTTGACTTGTGTTCAGTAAACACAAAATGAAAAAAAAAGTTCAAGCTTCATGGAAGGTTACTTCTTCAAGTATGTATTTGGTGGAATTAACTTTGAAGTTTTTCATGCTAAATGTTTTTGTTACATGAAAGTCTTGTCTTGGGGATCATAGTAGATCATAATGAAAATTTTATGGTACATTTTCATAGCTCCGGTGGTATGTATACCCACAGTCACTTGATGGATGGGAATGTCACCCGAATAAAATGGCCAGTGTGCCAGAGCACATGGTTTGCATAAAGATAAAAGGAAGGAATGATAGAGGGAGCATGCATCAGAAAAGGGTAAAGAAAATCTTGTTGAAATAAAATATCTTCTTTTTTTGGCTTGGAGATTTTTCTTTTTTTGAAGAGTAGATTTAAAAGCTAAAACAAATCCTTTCCAGTTTTATCCAGCAAACTGGATCCCAGTTGTACTGGGACCCACGCTATGGTAGGGACTGTCACTCGGTGATGGCTTTGATATATACTCATTTAGTCCTAGGAAGTAATTACTGTTCATTTTGAGACAGTAAAGTTAGAAAAACACAAATAATACACTGAAGAATAATGCTAGTTATTTAAATGGTAGATTGCATCTCCGTGGCTATTAGTTACAGCTGTGTAATTACATATTACGCAGAAGGAAAAAAATGAAGTTGTTTTAAAACAAGTCCTCCTCTGTGAACAGAATTAATTGATATTAACAGGCCTAACTACATGCCCAAATACACATATAATATTTTACCCACAGTTTTTCTAGATCCATCTTCCATTACTGAATTGTAATTTCAGTGTAGATTTGCCTGGAGGTAAGTCATAAATCTGTGTTGCAGACTTCCCTAAGTATTAAAGGAGAAGTGGGTATTTATGGAGGAAAAATGACCAAACTTGTGACTTAGTCTGTAACTTTTCACTGGAATACAACTATTTTCAGCGTTTCAATGTCTGCTAAAAATAGGCTGCCATAAAACCAAGGGACCAATTTAAGATCTCCTGTACAAAAGGAAGGAAATGCCAAATTCCATTTGAAACATGGCATGTCCTTCACCCGGTTATACAGCTCTTTCATGCTAGAGAGGGCACCACATGGGTCTCAGATGCACCTCTCTCCCATGGGACAGAGAATGCAAGGATGGCTAATTCCTACCAGGCTTCAGTCTCTGTGCTGAAGTAATTCAAATCAGATTTCCTGTGGAATTTTGGAATGATTTGCGCTTTGAAAATCCATGTTCTCATTTTTAGAAATAGGTTTCATAGCATGTATTGTGTCATAAGACTATACTCCTACCTACCTGGGAGGCAGAGATGGGGGAATTAGGGTTTGCGGCCAGCCTGGTGTAAAAGTTCATGAGACCCCTGTCTCATACAGTGGCTGGTGTGGTAGTGCAGGCTTATTATTAGTTCAACTACAAGGGAAGCACAATGGCTAGGTATGGTGGCTCATGCTCATTATCCTCACTGACACAAGGAAGCACAAGTAGGAAGATCTCAACTCAGGTCAGTCTGGGCATAAATTGAGACACTGTCTCAAAAAATACCCTTTGAAAAAAGAGGCTAGAGGTATGGTTCAAGTGGTATACAACATGCCTTGTAAGCTTGAAGCCTTGGGTTCAATTCCAAGTACTACCAAAAAAAATCCAAAACATAAAAATGAGTTCAAGTAATAAGTTGATGTATTTCCCCTGATTTCATTACAGTTTGCTTTATAATTAAATGTAAACATAAATTTATTGATAAAGATTCCAAAGCTGTGTTACTTTGATAGAATATAGTAGTAGCAAAATTTGTATAGTCCTTGGACTCGGGTTGGCTGCTATTATTTGGCTTTTTTATTCAAGGCTAGTGCTTTACCTCTGCTCCTGGCTTTTGTCTGGTTAAGAGTCTCACAGACTTTTCTGCCCAGGCTGACTTTGAACTGAGATGGTGAGCATTATCAGCCTCCAGAGGAGCTAGGAGTACAGGTATGGGCCACTGGAGCTTGCTTCATTGGTGCTTAGTGATGATAGCTACATAGAACAAGGCAGGTCAGAACTGGAGTGCTGGGGACCAGTTGGAATTGCCATTTTACATGTGACTCTGAGTGCTGATTTCCCTTCATTTGAATACTTTCTACTTTTTAAGCCAGGCTTTCAGATGCTTCATAGCAAGTGACTAAATCATTTTCTAGCAGATGTGTTCATAGCATGTAGGGTACTTGTAGGTCTGTGACCTCCTGAGAAGGCTCAGCTTCCCATCTTAGCAGGCCAGTGAGTGGCTCCTTCACTTAGGAAGTAGGAAGCTGGGGCTAGTCACGCATATGCCCTTGTCTTATAGCCTGGCATTCTTCTTGCATTGATCCCAGTGGCCTTTCTACTCTGCAGGGCAAGCTAGTGATTCTGATCATCCTCAAAACCTAACCCAAGGGTCAGTGTCACTAGCAGTCACAGAGGCTGTTCTGTACTGCCTTGTGTGCATTTTCATTGCAGTGATTGTCCTCTTGCTTGGGGTGATACCTTTATCTGTCACTGCTCCCTGTAGTTTGTAAGCATGTGCCAGTACTGGTAAAAGATGCTTAGTGGTCAGTTGGGCTGGTCCAGTCTCTGAGGTGGCAGCTGAACCATCATATTTTACTGAACCAGTATTTTTTTCCCAAACTAGCTCAGTAATGATCCCTCAGCCTGTCACCAGAGGCTCATGCCTGTAATCCTACCTACTCAGGAGGCCCAGAGCTAAGCATTTGTATTTGAAGCCAGCCCTGGAAGGAAAAGTCCATGAGACTCTTATCTCTAATTAATCAACAAAAAGCAAAAGTAGTGTTGTGGTTCAAGTGGTAAAGCACTAACCTTGAGCAAAAAAGCTAAGAGATAGCACACAGGTCCTGAGTTTAAGTTACAGTACTGGCATTTTCTCCCCGCCCCCCCCCCCCCCCCCCCCCCCCCCCCATCCTACAAAGAGATGAGCCCTTGGGCTGATTTTAGAATTTTCAAGGCCTGCTTTTGTTGTGGGTAACTTAGAAAATCAAATTTCTACAACTGCTGGCTAGACTGCTGTGAGCTTGCTAAGCTTTTTGAGTTGGGGAAGTGGGGGGTGGGTGGGGGCTTGAACTCAGGGCCTGGGCACTGTCCTTTAGCTTTTGTGCTCAAGGTTAGTGTTTCCCCTCTTAAGCCACAATTCCACTTCTGGCTTTTTTCTTAGTTATGTAGTTGATAAGTGTCTCTTGGGCTTTCCTGCCCAGACTGGCTTTGAACCACAATCCTAGGATCTCAGACACCATAGCCCAGCTGGAATATTTTTAATTATAAATAGATAAAATATGGGGGATAGCTTCATTATTTGGCACACACAGTTGTTGTGGTCCCAACTTTAGAAAATAAATTATAACTGTTTGACGAACAAGGGTTTTTGTTGAGCAAAATGCTGACAGGTCTGCGTTCAGAAGGATGGTAGGTACTGTGGTAATTGTGCCATCATATCCCATCATTAAAGATTCAATTGAAAGAGGTTTATAAATTGCTCCTCTTTTTAGATAAACCACCTTATATTAAGGCATCCAGCGCTAGGGTGCAGAATTAAATTAAAATCTCATAAAATGAAATATGTTCTGTATTAGCTGTTTGACACTTAATTTGCCTCTGAATGAGTAGAGGAAATCACAAATTAACCTGCCTTTGTTTTTCCAGCCATGGCTTATTAGGTGTTAGAACAACGGCAATTATAGCCTAATAATAACCCAGAAGCCTTATAAATATGTACGGAAATCCGTCAGCTTCGGTTTAAGAACCCGATTTGTTACAGGGACTGCCTTTGGCTTTCTTTCTCCTCGCTCTCTCCGTCCTCTCCACAATTTATAGTTAGGTGATAGAACTTGAGTATAGAAACTTTAATTGATTCAAATGAAGTACTGGGGGGAATATTAGGATTTATTAGCATTTCTCTTACATCATATATGTTGATTCTAAAGGAGCAGGTGGGGCTTGGAAGGTGGAAGGATTGTCTCTCCCTGAGTCATCACCTGAAAAGTCTTAGGACATCGTTGAGTCCTGCATTGGGTTGATGTAACTCAAGTAGTTTCTTGAACATTGGGTAGGGGAAATCTTCCCCTATCTTTCAAGTCCTTTCCAGTGGATTCAGTACAGCTTGTATCTGGCAGACAATTGGAGCACGTTCTCTCTTTGTCTCCCTCCCTCTCCCTTTCTCTTTCCCTCTTTCTCTCTTTCCACCGTTCCCTTCTCTCCTCTACTTCTCTCTCTTCTTTCTCCTCTCTTCCTCCGTCTCTCTGTCTCCCCTTCTCTTCCTTCCTCTTCTGTTCCTCTCTCTATCTCATCATGTCTTATGGTCACAGACTCTTACGTTCAGCCATGCAAAAACAACAAAAATACAATGTAAGAAGAAATGGAAAGGTCCACTTTATTATATTACTGGGATTATTTGGAGCATCAATGACAAAACCCCAACCAAACTATATGTAACCAAGGCAGTAATGCTATGTCTTCATTTTTGCTTGGTCTTCTGTATTTCCTGACCTGCTCTGTGTGTCTCAAGGCTGTGTCCTTGAGAATTCATGATGCCCTTTACACTAAAAATTCATATCAGTATTTAGTATTTCATTTGGAAATGTGGAGTCACAGTATTACATCTTCCTACCGCAGAATACACTTGTCTTGTCAAGTGACTACTTGTGTAATACACTTTTTCTCTTGTGGGGTGTGTGTGTGTGTGTGTGTGCGTGTATTTAAGTGTTAGTACTCACTTAGGCATCTTTCTTTTTTA